GAAAACCGAAGAGAGAGAGAGAGAAGAGATACTCTCTGCGTGTTAGAACGTCATTCACATCCCTCTTCCGGGTTTCGACTGGCCTCATTTGCTATTCCTCTTAGTTAGAAACGAGCATCGCCTACGAAATATAACCCCCGTAGCACCTCTGGGTTTTTCGACAAAAGGAAATAGAAAGAAAGAGGGAAGAGATTCGTTCTTCGTCTGCATTTTGTGCAAATATCGCTCGAAGGGCCAAATTGCCCTCGTTTCGCCTTCCATTCGAGACTCTTCTTCGTAACTACGACCGTTTCTCGCCGAGGAAAAGGAAACGAGAGAGAGAGAGAGAGGGAGGAGAAGAGGCTGTTGCGACGAACAATTTCTTCGCCGGCTGTGTTTCTTCTCTCTTCTCTTCTCTTTCGTCGTATTCTCCGCGTCGGAGAATCTCGCGCTTGGAATCTTCTGGCTCGACGATGTCTTCTACTAGTAACCGGCGCGGCTCGTCTCGTTGAGCAACGTCAATAGAAATGCGCGTTCGCGCGTGATCGAACGCGATCTTGATACGGTTTTACCGGGGATTCTTGAGGCTGAGAGAGGATAGCTCGGTGAATCTGTTTGGAATTTCCTGCTTTTTCCACGGATTGCAGATTGTGAGTTTAACTTTCGTTTGCAGAGATTTAGACTTGTTTCTGCGAGACTCTTACTTGTAGTTCGTTTTGCTTCTTACGATGTTAGAGAGTATCGGTTTGAAGAATCTTCGATTTTCTTTCTTTTCGGAGATTGTGCTATCAGCTTTGAAAGTAGCGCGTTCAGAAAGTAGCGCTGTGAAGTTGTTTTTTTTTTTTTTTAAGATTGCGTAGGGATCCTGTGTAATTCTGTGCTTGGAACAGTTAAGTGGTATTCGGAGGTTTTAATAGTTTTTTCTAAAATTAGAGGCGTCGTTTAATTTGTCTTGATTCGTAACGTAACTCCTTGTGAATTTCTCAGATGGTAGTGGTAACTTGTGTGTACATTTTAATTCTTGTAATTGGCCAATTGTTTGCAATTCAAGGAATAATTGTAGGAAGATCTTCTCAGATTATCAAGTCTAATACTTTATCTACCAGTTACCCGTGCTTCTAATTTAACGATAACTGATGAATTATGAATTGTTGTATGAATAGTTAAACAAAATCGAGGATTTGATGTAACTCGGGAGCATTCGTGATTTGTCGGAGAAATTTCCAATATTGGGCATGTGGGATATCCTAAATTGGTAATATGGAATATTCAAAATTTCTACAATTGGAAATGTGGAGCATTCGAAATGTCCAGAATCGGAAATTCAGAGCATTCGAAATTTAAAAAATTGGAAGCATGGAATATTTAGAACTTCCAAATTTGGTAATGCAGAATACTTGAAATTTTCAAAATTGGAAATATGGAACATTCGAAATGTTCAGAATTGAAAATTCGGAGCATTCGAAATTTAAAAAATTCGAAGCATGGAATATTCAGAACTTCCAAATTTGGTAATGCAGAATACTTGAAATTTTCAAAATTGGAAATATGGAATATTCGAATTGTCCAAAATTGGAAATATGGAACATTCGAAATGTTCATAATTGAAAATTCGGAGCATTCGAAATTTAAAAAATTCGAAGCATGGAATATTCAGAACTTCCAAATTTGGTAATGCAGAATGCTTGAAATTTTCAAAATCGGAAATATGGAATATTCGAGTTGTCCAAAATTGGAAATATGGAACATTCAAAATTTCCATATTTGGGAATGCAGAATATTAGAAATACGAAATTTCCAAAATTGCAAATGCAGAATATTCAAAGCTTCCAAAATTAGAAATATGGAATATTCGAAAATTGCAAACACAGAATATTCGAAACTCGGAAATACAAGAACACACGCTGAAGATAAAGTATCAAACAAAGAAGACAATCCCTCGAAACCAATGGCCATTTTCTTCTCTACCCTGAAAAGTGAAAATTTCGTTGGGAACAACACATCCCTCTATCCCTGTGGCGCGTTACACTTTCGCCAGATTCTTTGCCGAAGGTCCCGGCTCAACCGCAGTTTTCACTCGTTATTCACGTTCAAGCTTTCGAGAAGCATTTTCCAGCCCACTTGCCTATTTCCTCCCTCTCTGTAACCAGCCGCGTTCTCGCCCTTTTATACACGTGTTAGGAGCCATCTCCCGAGCTCGTCCCAACAACGCCGGGTCGTCGATTGCGTCTCTCTTAACTCGTTTCAGTTCCTTCCCCGTCGATCTCGATTTCCCAAATCCTACAATTGGGGGCTCGCCCGGGATCGAGAGAGTTAGACGGATCGCGAATTTTGGAAGACGGTTGGAAAACGTGGTGTAACGTCTGTACGGCAGTTGCTTGGTTCGCGATCGAAACGGTCGGGTTTTACGGTGCGGTGGAAAGTTGACCACGAAGTTGTGTCTAAGTTGCGACACCCGCGAGAGAACGATCGAGCGATATACAAGGGAGAACAATGGATAAACGAAGCGGAAATATTACAGAGAAGGAGACGAGTCCAGCACGGAGGAGAAGAGGACGATAGTTTGCGAAAGTCAGGCTAGTATAGTAGAGGAACTGGATGAGAAGACGATACATAGGATGCAAGTGGCACAATTGGGGGAAAAATTGAAAATTCCCGATTAAGAAACGGAAACTGCGGGAGCGATTGCTATTATCAGCCGTGCAAGACGATTCAGAAGGAGAAACTGACGACGAGGAAAGTTGTGAAGAAGAGGAAGAAGGTCGAGGACGGAGGTATAGGAAAGTACCGAAAGCACGTTTACCGTCAAAGACGATAAACTGCCGGTTAAAAAGTGGGTATCGGACTTTGAAGATACAAGCGAATTGTTCGGCTGGAATGATCTGCAGAATTTTATATATGGCAAAGAAATGTTGCAAGGTGCTGCGAAAAAATTTGTGACGTTCGGGAAGAAGAACGCGGAAGTGCACGCCCAACTGTTTCGGCGAAGGAAATTGCCCAGCGAAAGCAGTAGGAGATAGCCGCGCAGGGAGAGGTCGATGAAGATGCAACGTATTGTATAACAATACGTAATAGACGGTATAGCAACGAGTCTAATAAAGCAGTTCTTTACAGTGCTCGAAGCTTGCGTGCGTTGAAAGAAAACCTGGAGGTGTACGACCGATTGAGGGAAAGAATCGATCGGAAAAAGGGAGTGAAGAAAGAAGAGATGAAAACGGCAGCGTCGAGGCGCAACGCGAAGTCGGTAATGAATTCGGACATATTTCGACGGCATGCACGAAAAGGAATAGGAAAACTTCAGAGGCCGAAAATAATTATCATTCGTACGAGCTAGAAGCGTTATAAGAGCGGTGCAAAAATTTAGAGTGTATCTGTTAGGAGTGAAGTTGAAATTAGGGTCGCGAGATGGGCGCTGGCATTGAAAGAGCACCGATCGGGATCACAATTACGATACCCCCCGTTCGCGTAATCGAGGATCAATTAATCGGTACGTTGCGCGGAGACAAGAGGAAGACGACCGAATTCGAGCGATAAAGCAGGTGTTAAAAAGACTATTTCGTGGAACCTAGTCTGGTCGTGAAACAAGTTGGGGATAAGAAAATCATTGGTTTCTATGTACGAGGTCATCAGAAGGGAGCACGAGAATGGACACTTCGGAGTGAAGAAGAAGTAACCGAAGAATTCTATATACCGAATTTGACGGAAAAATTGGTGAGGTGCGTGAAATGTTGCATACCTTGTACATTATCAGAAAAGAAGATTTGTCAAGGTACAACGTGGAACGTTTGGGGCCGATACCGACTACAGGTAAATCGTGGTCATAGATGCATTTACATCGAGCGAATTTCGTGAGTATTACGCTGGAGAAAATATCGAGCACATACGCGTCACCGCGGGAGTAGTTCCACGGGGAAACGGACAAGTCGAGAGAGTTAATAGAGTAACAATACCGGTATTGGTATCGGTATGTAGACAAGGTGCAGCGAGTGCAGCAGAGGGCGATTTGGTGGCAAATTAAAAGAACGCAGTTTGTGAAAATAAGGGCGAAATTCTTGGGGCCCTATGAAGTAACGACGGCGAAGCGAAATGACAGGTACGAGGTTGTTCGCATGGGAGACGGAGAGGCGCCACGTCTACATCAGCTGACTTTATGAAGCCATATGGAAAGACCTCTTTGGGGAACGAAGAGGAGGGAGGGGGAATGGCCAGTCGGGAGCCGGCGACTACGATCGAGTGCGACCGATCTATTCGGGTTTCTCCGTCGCACGTCGGAAAAAAGGTAGCGGATCGTTTTTGTTTCGTGGACTACGGGGGAAGCGGCGTGCGTGCCAGGAGTCATTGCCTGGCGGTCGTCGGTTGCGTTTCCTTTAATTCGTTTACGGTAACTTGTTCTTTTATTATTAAAGTTTATGTTAAATCCAATCGTCTCGAATCATTCCGTCAATCTCGATTTCCCAAATCCTACATATATATAATATCAATTCTTTTTTTCTCTGTTCAACAAAAAAAAAAAAGAAGAAACATGCGTTCCCTGAATTTTTGTTTTCCCCTCTTTCTACATGTTCACGGTTTTCCTATCGCACACAGGATGCTCATAGACCCCGCGCCGCCCATCATCGTCGTATTTCTCCCTTCGACTCCTACTTATTTCCCCCCTTTACTTCTTTCCTTTTTTTACTCTTGTCGTCTCTTTCTCTAGGTACAAGTGTGAGGATTCAATTGTTTCGATCAGTGTGAGGCTCTCTCTGCGAGGTTCGATTCGCTTTTCTTTTTTTTTCTTCGCATACCCAAAATAAACGAGAAACTCAATTTTTCTCTCCCACTCTCTCTCTCTCTCTCTCTCTCTCTCTCTCTCTCTCTCTGATAATCATACATACGTACATTCATTCTACCTTTTTCCCCCATGAATTCCACCAGAATTTAACGGAGTTCCGTTTCGTCCTCGGGTAGAGACGGGTGTTGTCGAGTACAGGATGGGCTTTTTCTACGTAGCTGTTCTCTGCGTACCCCTAAAGACTCCACTAGGACGCGTGGCCGACATTAGCGGCGGCAGGATTGCCAAGGGAGGCGAAGTGGTGCGCGTATTTGTTGCGATGTGCCTGAAGGAAAACGGTGTTAGGACTGGTGACCTCTGACATGTCCAGATCGTCCTCGTCCTCTTCGTGGATGGTGTCGCTGCTCGGGCTACGGCTCATCGGCGAACCGCCGCTGCTGTTCGAGTGAGAGTGTGGCCTGTGCATACCGGTGGACATCGATAGATCTTCCGGTTCGGTTTGCTCCGGTAGATCCATGGGGATACCGGATAGATTCAACGGCATCGGCATAGACGCGGCGAGGACAGGACTCGGTAATTGACGATGCGCGGCCAGTCTGACCGGGGTGATGGTTTTTCTCGCGATCAGAGTGGTGGTACCGTCGGGTTCTTCCATTTCTACGTCGATATCGATGTCGATATCCTCGTCTAGATCGTCGCTGGCCAAAGACGGCGAGGCGACTTGCGATCGGGAGATCAGACCGGTGGCGTTCAAGCCTGTGCCACACTTGTGATGCATCAGGTGATGCCTCCGTCTGAATCTCATTTGACAGTGTTCGCACTCGAACGGTTTCTCGCCTTTGTGGATCAGCAGATGAGCCTTCAGTTGATTCGAGTCGCTGAACTTGGACGCGCACAGCTCGCACGCGTACGGACGCTCGCCTGTGTGCACGCGCAAATGTCGACGCAGGTTCGCTACCTGCACGAACTGACGGTCACAGTGGCTGCAGTGGTACGGTTTCTCACCTGTGTGCAGTCGCATGTGGGTCTTTAGGTGGTGGTCCCGGGTGAATCTGTAATCATAAGGAGGAGATTTTCGTTTTGAGCACGATGAATAGGAAGTGCTTGGGGATTTTTTTTAACCCTTTCCCGTTTCTCGATTTTTCTCCGAATCTTTGCACGAGATATCTTGCATTCTAAGGAACAGACGAGCGAGATATTTCTGGATATCAGATTTTTCTTAACTCTTTTATTTCAATCTTTGGACGAGATATTTCGCGTCCTAAGGGAAAGACACGCGAGATATCTCCGGATATTAGGTTTTTCCTTAATCCTTTCGTTTCCATGATCAATATGACTCACGAACTGATTTTCGTCCGAATCTCTGCACGAGATGTCTCGTATCCTAATGAAAAAATATGCGAGTTATCTCGTACGAAGTCAGATATTAGATTCTCCTTAACCCTTTGTCTCCACAATCAAAACGAGTCACGAACCGATTTTTGTCCAAATTTTTGTCGCGAAGTATCTCGTCCACAGATACGAAAGAGTTAAAGAAAAGATCGACAAAGGTATCTTTTCTTAAATCACCGGTTAAAATGTTGTAAGATAGCAAAAATTGATTTCGTTGCAATGTTGACAAAGCTACGCTAACACAAGTTCGCAAGCATTACGAACAACTTTTCTTCCCCGCTTATCGCGTTACGTCTGCAGAATCACGTCCTCCGTGTTGAAAGCAAACGGTAGCACTAGAGCAAACAAGTAATCCAGACAACAAAGAATAAAACAGATTTTCGGTGAAGTTTACTTTCCAATGACTTCAAGTATTCAATTGATTCCGAACAGTCTACAACTCGGTCCAAAGTTCTCGAACCCGGTCGGTCATCCTTATCGAGCGCTATTACAGAAACAACATCTGATACCGCGTTATCTACGACGAAATACCCCGATATCCACGAATCACCCGGAGAATCCTCGAAAATAAGAAAACAAGCATCTCCACAAATCGATCATCTCACCTTTTGTGACATTCCGGACACTCGAACGGTTTCTCGCCTGTGTGCGTGCGTTCGTGGTTCTGCAACACGTGTTTGTAACCGAACGATCTGGAGCAAACTCCACAGGTGAACACCTTGTCCCTTCCGTCTTTGCCCGCCTCGGGGCTAACGGACGTGGGTGGACTGAGAGGAGCAGATCCCTCTAACGTCGGCTGTACACTGTCCACCTTTGACTTTTGCGCTTTCCTCTTCGTCGCCTGACCTTTCTTCGTGATCCTGTCGCCGCTACTGCTCACCACGTTATTGTTATTGTTATTATTATTGGCGAGAGTGTTGTTGGAGCGACGGGACGTGGATTTGGTGCTCAACGCGGGCGAGACTGGTCCGGGGGAGTGATGAAGCGGCGACGGCGGCGACGAAGCGGTGGGTGGTGCCCAGCCACCGAACAACGTCTGATGGTGTCTGTAGAGAGACGGGCTTGCGGCGAGTGTCGCGTGCAACGACACAGGTATACCGGCGGCCATCAAGGCCGCCGTTCTGCTCGCCGCGAGCAATTGCTGAGGGGTGAGCATCGACAGACCCGCCGCTGTACTACCCATACCCGGGAACATCACTTGCGACGTGTTGTTGTTCAGAGGCGGGGAGAGCGGTTGCTTCTCGGATTCTTGCTTCATGTCGAGATGCTGCCCGGTTAACAGTCCTGGAACAGAAAATTCCTCTTTTTGTTGTAGACGACGTTTCTTCCTGGTGGTGGTAAGTATAAAGTGATACGATGGTTTGGAAATCTCGAAGTAATATTGTGTTTGGGGAGAGAACGCGACGAGTGGTGATTTTTTTTTCATATTTTACTATATTATATTATTTTGTAAATATAATAAAATATTTCTTTTAATTACAGATTAGAGAGATTCAATTTCTGTTTGAAAGGTGAACCCGGTTAACGGATTAAGATTCAATTCACAAGACTATGTGTAATCTATTTATCAAACACTGTGTATAAAATCAGACACAATATCAAAGAACAGCTATTTAACATTGCATACGTAGTCCTCGAAAGAATTCCCGAAATCAAGAAGGAGATACTAAGAAAAATTCCTCAGAAGAAGTTCCAAAATCAAGGAGGAGATACTAAAAAAATTCCCCAAAATACCTCGGTGCACGGATTTCTAATCTCAACTATCAAATACAATAAATGTAAACGCAAGGTTCTCGATTCCGCCGACAAAGCGACACTCTGTGCTTAACTCGTTTCATCTTAGCCGCGGCGCAAAAGAAACGTCCAACGACATCCAAGGAACGCAAAATTTTGAATTAAAATTATCTATATCTCCTTCTTCAACAATTGCAGTTAAATCAGATTATCAACCCCTCAACCTATCATTTCTTTTCTGACTGTGCATCTAAGCGTCAGCCATTTACTGTTTTACTACTGCGTCAGGTAACGAAAGCTAGCCTGTTACGGATTAATGCCATTTAGTAATCCTCAGTCTTGAAAATTAAAACGAAAGTTAGGATTACGATGAATTTTTCAAGTCTAACACGTTGTTATAGGTCAAGGGGTTAAAACGATTAAAAAAAAAAAAACTAAGAATATAAAAGTAACCGATGTTTCATTGACCCCAACAGTATCAAAAAATAAATATCATTCGTCCCAAACAATAAAGCAACGTGTTAAGACGCACATAAACACCTTTAAAAAGAAGCTACAATGCGTCAGTTCCACGGAAGCCCTGCCAGCTACAAGAAGACCAAAGGAAAAAGGGACTCCCTATCTAAAAGGAAGAGACGGTTTTCGCTAGTCGTCCGACGGGTGGACGAATAGCGTCGCGTTCCACAACAAATCGCGTGCAATGCGGTCGGACGACTCTCGATGCGCGCGTACCACGCGCAAAAAGGACGAGAGAGAGAGAGAGAGAAGAGCGGGTGTACGTGTGCGGAATCTTTTCTCCCGCGTGCATCCTCCGTCTCTCGTGTGCTCCGCCGCTCGCCTCCTCCTCCTCCACCACCCTGAACTCCCTCCCACACACGTTGCTCACACGTGAGCGAGAGCCACTCGGTCCTCCTCCATTCACTCACACTCCCGTACGCCGCGCGGTTCATTCATAAGCCTCGACTTCCCACCCACGTCACCGCGGGTGTGTTGTACCCGCCTCTCTTCGCCGACTTGAGGCCAACGACTCCGCGAAAGTGCAAGCTATGCTCTGTGACGGCGCGCTTTTTCCCCGTAGAAACCGAAATTTTTTCGATTTTCCTTGAAAATCTCGGTGTGTAGTCGGCGTTTCCTGGAGATTTTTTATTTTTTCGAAAGAACTTTTCTGGCGCGTCGAATTTCATCAAGGAGATACACCCGGAGATTGATAATTTCGTTCAGAGAGAAATATTGCGATACTTTTTTTTATGGAAGGTGTATAATTTGAGACGAAATTGTGCGGAAACTTGGAAGATAGAGATTTTTTGAGATTATTTTTTAGGGGTGATTTTTTTTTTTTTTTGGGTGAAGTTGCAGAGAATAATAATAACTTTCTCGAAAAAGGAGCAACCCTCGCGTATTAGGGTTACACCTTCCGATGATTGCTTATTCGCGTGATCGACGAGGCTCGACGGGGTAATTGAATTAATAAGAGTGGCTCGGTTCACGAAATTATGCAAGGGAATTATTATAACGACGAAACAAATTCGACGGTGCATTTAAATTCAAGAGAGAGTGGGATCCTCCATTGGGTTTTCCTTCAAATTCTGGAATACCTACTTGTTGTTCAGAGAGAAAGATAAATCGCCTTCGAGATAATTGCAATTATACGATCTCTTTTCTTAACGGGGTTCTGAGCAATCTACATGCGAGATGAGACGAGGCTCAATTTAAGAAAACAATGAATCAAGCAGCCATGCTTCGCCGCCACTTGCTAATTAATGGACCATTTAGAGGAGGGGCCAAGTAATGAGACCCCGTTGAATCAATAAAGGCGCGTAAGATCTCCTATTCCTCCTTTCTTCTCTGCCCTAAAACTCCCTTAACGTCGGCTAAGATTCTTACAGCCTACAATCGCCGTTTCCCGGCAACACGACCAACGAGAGCACCGCCCCCGCTCGCATCCCTTCCCTAATTGGTCGCAACCCCAATATTCTCTTCCGAATCCCTTTCCCTCGGGTCCGAATAAAATTTTTCCTTCCACGCTGTGCAAGAAACGTTGGATACGATAACGAGTCTACCACGCAACCATTTCGCCAATATTCTCCTTCGAATTATATTTAAGAACGTTGGAAAATTAAGCGTAGTTTTCATGGAATTTTGTGTGAGAGTGTTGGAATAAAATAGCTGTGCAAATGGAATGTATTTACCGTTAGGCAAGAATTTTGCGAATATACCGTTCGAATTATATTTCAGAACGAAGTCAAATTAAGTGTAGTTTTCGTGTAATTTTGCGTGGGAGTATTGGAATACATTTTTTTTTTTTTTTATAACGATTTACGTATTACAAGTCTACGGGAGAAGTTTCAAATATCGTGACGTTTATTCTTTCGTGTCTCGTATAACACCGATCGCTGTCCTACACGATATTGTGAGATTTTTATTTTCTTTGTGTTCCGTGTAACGGTTAAGATGAAACGCGTTAATATGTAACAGTATCGTTTTGTCGGCGAAACCGAGAGTTCGGTGCTGTTACTTTCGGCGAAGTCGAAAGTCTTACAATGTAGTGCCAAGAAGTCTACGAAATCAGAATGTATTTTCTAAGAATATGTAGCTTCGAATATGCGAAATTTTGTACGTTACGAAATAATACGCAATACTGCACTAAATCCTTATGCGGTAATAATAATACGATGAAACAAAACTTTATTCCTAATTTTCAATTATCGACGTTTCACGAAAAAATGTATCTTTTAAATTACTACCGTACGTATTTTTTTACAAAACACAAATATATTCTACATTTGATTTGACTAACCGAGTTACGTATGCCTAGCTTACCGGTAACAATTGACCGACCATCGATTCGATTCCGTAATTCGACCGCGAGACACGATTCCACGCGAGCGCGCCGCTTAACCAAATATATCGTGCGCTTTGTTTATAACCTAGAAAACACGTTCGCGGAGATCGCCGGCGACGTCAGCGGGGTCGCGCACTTCACACGCTTTCGTGCGTTTCCGAGCGATCGCGGCTATTTTCGGACGGCCGTTGCAACCGCGAAACCAGTCGAGCCTCATTTTCCCCGAACCGAGCTCCTCTCTCTCCCTTTCCGTCGAGCGATTTCACTCGTCTTCCCGGCTTATCGATGTTTACAATGTGTCACAACACGAGTGTGTCGCCGCGGGCACTTTTAGACTTTGGCGCCGGGCCAGCGTTCGCCAACGTGTCCCCTAAACTCGGAAACCTTGCCCGTTCGTCTTCCGCGGCTGTCTGTCGCGTGATGTGCGATAAATAACACGGTTACGCCGAACGTCGGATGAAACTAGGCTAAAAAGCGGGATCACCTTGGGTGATCGTGAAAACAAACGACGAACGAAACGATTCTTTTTTGTTTTCAACCGTGGAAGCGCCCATGTCTAACTTCGTAATGAATTTCGTCATCGAAATTCTTACGTAGAGATCGATAATCGAACGAACGTAGATAGAGAACTCGACGGTGACGAATATCGCCGATCGCGATATTTCGCCGACATAACCAACGTCCGAAGTTCACGTGCACGCACATTCGTGATACATAGATTGAAACGTACCTGCGTTAATTTGCGCCTCTTGAAGATAAGACAGTGCCATTCTACGATCCGTGCTGCGTGTTTTCACTATGACACTCCATCCACTTCTCTGCACAATGTGATCACTTCCGACGATAGCAGGGAACGAGATACAGATGCGCGCGTTTATGTATTATAACCTAACGAACGGCGGCACTGCACAAACAGCGTGGTCGAAGGAAATGAAAATTATCTCTCTTCGTTTCTTCTCTTCGTCGAAACTCTTTCTCCCCGTGTACGTGTGTCGATCGGCGATGAACCACGCGGGAAATATCACCGATGAAAATTTTTCTCTCTCTCGTCGAACACGAAGACTCGCGTATACTTCACGGTGTCGCGTCTCTGTCGACGTCCTGAGAGGAACTGGCGGCACGTCCTACGGAACTAAAATCTCCCGAAGCAAAACAAAAGAAGGAACGGACAAAAACAGAAGAGGAAACAAGGTACGTAAAAACGTGTTACTACTCTACTATAAACAACAAACGTCGTCGTTCGACTACGAGGAACGACGACGAGCAGCGACGTTGCTCTGGGCTGACCTAACCCAATACTAACTGACAATCGAGTCGCGCTCTCTGTAGTCAAACATCCCCCACCCTTCCGTCCCGGTCTCCCCCACCAAACATCCTCTATCCCTACCCCTGCTAGACTCCTCTACCCTCTCGAATCGCAACCCTAGATGCGCGAGTCGCAGAAATGTGCCTCGTTCGGGGGATAGAACGAGAACGACCGGACCTGTGTTAGACGAAGATGAACGAGTTGGAAGATGTTAAGGGTGGCGCGCGCGAGACAGAGAGAACGTTCTCTGTACTGTACACATGGTACAGAGAGATGACTGACTAGGATAGGAGAAACTGTTTCAAAAAAGAGGGACAGAGAGAGAGAGAGAGAGAGAGTGAAGTACGAGACAGGGTGAACCTATGACCGTGATCTTTAAGGGTGGGGGGTACGAGCGAGCGTAGGGAAGACTGTATACTTCTCTGTCGTGTCGCGATGGACGAGGACGGCCACAGAAGGCGGGTAATCTGTGAAACCTGCCAGAGGAAAGATAGGGAGTGTACGACGCGCGGCGGACGAGCTTGGGAGGAGGAGGGGGGAGAGCTCGACGATATTCCGCGACTATAAACTGAGTCCGTGCGTCCTCGGTCTCACCCTTTCGAATTCGCGAGAAACAGGAACGATAAAAATGGACGGAAGGGTGTAAAAGGAGATTGTTACAAAGGGAGGCGATCCTTTTCTCCGGAGGATGGTCATTTTCTTAATGTATATTCTCTTCTTTTTTTCTTTTTCTCCCCGTTTTGTCTTCGTGAAAAGGGACGTAAAACGGGGTGTTTCAGAAGAGAGAGATATTTTTATATATATTATATCGGAGCTGTTTCGAGGTTACCTTTTTCACGAAGACTTATCGTCGATGGAATGAATTACATTTGAACAGGTGGAAATTGATAATGCAATATGGAGGAATGTTAGAGGTGATTGTGCAAATTGCTCGATTAGAGCAATTGAGGATGTGTCGAAATATTACGCGAAGTTGGTTTGTGATTAAATTCAGATTTGTAGACCTTGTGTCTTCTGTCTCTATCACTGAACGTGTGCTTATGGGAGACTTTGACATCGCTCTTAATAATTCACCGGCGGTCGATAGGGATTACGACGCCGATGTTCTCTGTCCACAAACCGCTCGTATTCTTTGAAACTCGCACCGCGGTGCGCGTCTGTCATTAAATATAAAGTGGATGGCGCATTATTTACACATTCGACACGGTACCTATATTAAGCAAAAAAAGAAAAATGAAAATATAAATTAACCATAATTTCTTATCTCTATACAACTTAAGACAAGTGACAAATTCAATTCTCCCACCTTCAGAATCATCAGCCCAATTATATTCCCCTGGAAAGCAAACTATTTACAATTTCTTTAAACCCACTTCCTTATCTCTGTACAAACGGCAAATTCAATCGTTCCAACCATTACTCCACTTCTCCAATTCACGAAATCACCAATCCGATTATACTCCCCTGGAAAAAAGCAAACCGTTCGAATTGCATTTACAAACATCCTCCGCGGCCCGTCACCCAGTATCGTCGAAACGTACGATAGAAAAAAAGACGAAGGAAAACGGGGGAAAAACCGCTCGTGTCCCAAATGGAAAAAAATCTCTCGTTATCCAGTCCCGGTGAAAAAGAAGCGAAAAAAGAGAAAGAAAGAAAAAAAAGCGCCAGCGTTGGTAGCGTTGCGTTCACGGTTCCTCGACGCGTTTTTCCGCGTCCCTTTCAGCCGGGCAGGAATCAAACGGGAACAATGCAATTTACGCAGGCTGCATCGAGAGCGGACCGGCGTTCGCTGCGGTATCGCGTCCCGAAACGGCAGGAATGTTCGTCGCTCGCGACTTCCGTACACGACGATAACGCGCGAGGCAAAAGGCACCTACCTATATACACATATACATATATACACGTACAATACCATCGAAACGGTACAGGGCTCCCACTGTTTTTTCTTTTTTCCCCGGAAAAACGAAACGAAAAGTTCCCGGTACCGGGTAACCCCCGGGGTTGATTTCTCTCTCTCTCTGTCTCTCCCCCTCCTCCGGGGGGTGAAAAGTACGAGACACAGTGGTGCGTGCGTGCGTGCGTGCACGAGTTCTCCGTCTCTCACCTGCCCGTGTCGGGCGTGCGCAGCGCGTGCCTGCACCCGAAAAACTTACGGGACCGACACACACACGAGTGCACTATAAAAAACTGGAAGAACGCTCCGTGGTATAGGCGCAACCTATGTGCACGTGTGTGTGTTTGAGCGATGTACTCGTGCTCGAGCACGCCGAGCTCTCCACCCTGTCAGCCTGTTGTCGCCGTCCTCCGGATAGAGACGGAGATTTCAGATATCGAGGGATGCGAAGGGAGA